CCCGGACACCGTGCCCACCTGCTTCAACCGCAGCGGCCTTCGGCGGTCCCTCCTTCGCCAGTACCAAGCCGCGGCCATTCCCAGCGTAACCAGCACAGCCAGAGAGGCTGAGGCGGAGAGCGGGCTCAGCCCGAACTTCGTTAGCGAAAACGAACGGGAGCCCGTCATGGCGACGCCGTAAAAAAAAGTAAAAAAAAAAAAGCGCCGTAGCGGGCGGAGGGGGGGAGATTTGGAGAGGCGCTCGTTTGGGACAGGCGGAGCTATTCGTCTCTTCCACACTCCCGAGGCCCGAGAGCGGGGCTGGAGGTCGGCCGTAGAAGCCTATAGGGCAGGCAGAGAGGCTGGGTTAACTTAACGGCTGGGTCTCTTCAACGGGAAAGACTTTGTTGCTCCTTGGCTGGCCGGGCCCTGAGCACATCTGGGATTTTAAGGCATGTGGCACCTAAAGCCAACCTCAGAACGCCTGTCGTTTAATAGAAGGCAGGCTAGGACCACGTTAAACACAATATTGTGCACTAGAATTTAAAATGAAAACAGTTGAATGCAAATGGACGGCTGAATTTCTAATGAGTTCAGTGAAGGGAAATGACCTTCACAGTCCCTTTATTCTGCATGAAAATTTGACGAGTTGGTTTTGATCCTCCAGCTAGCTGCCTTCAGGTCGGTAATCAGATATGTTCGTGCAGTGTGCACAATCTCAAAAGTAGCGTAAAAGCAACTTAGATCAGAGTCCAGGTCAGCATTTTCTCCTGTAAACACAATGCTATATATGACATTAATCTAGGTATTTTCTCCACAACTGGTCTAAAACTCTAAAGCATACTGGACAGGCAGGAAGAAAAAGCTGGCTTTCTGAATTGTTAATGTCTTTTGTGGCTCATATTGGTGGTATGCCAACATACCACTCCTCTTACACCCAGAATTCATTCTTTCTCAACAACAACTGATTGCAAGAAACATGCACAAATGATGGTATTGTAATAAGGAACAACAATGCTGCGTTGCTTAATATTATTTCTGCAGCAGTACAGGTTAGCACAAAACTCTCCATTTCTTCTCTTTCTCCTTTTTATGTTAATCAATTTACAAGATTAACATTTAACTGGAAGGCAAAATGAACCAGATTAAATTCTAAAGCAGGGCCTCTCAAACTGTGTTTTCCTGTGAGTTACAAGCAAGTGCAAAGGAGACACAATGTTTATTGGGCATGTGCAAATAAAACAGGATTCCAGCCAGAATTTAATTCTAATCTCTGGACAATGAAGCTGCACAAGCCAACTCCGGGACATGATCTTATAGATTGTGGAAGCTCAGTGACATTTATGAAGGAGTTATTCACCCTTTTGCCACAAACAGGTAGTGTGGGAATATTTTTCTCAATGAATAAATGATCAAGTATCATTCATTTGCTCAATTAGGTTCTTTTTATCCAATTTTAGGACTTGCATCATCATAGTTGAGCTCATATTTATGCAAAAACATTGAAAATTTCAAAGAATTCACACAATTTTTTTAAAAAAGAATTTTTATTTTTAGACAAACATACACAAACAAAACATAAAACCATTTTCCAGTTATCCACATACAGTGTGTCGGGTTAGAAATCTTGTGCATCCTCTCCATAGTCCTCACAGTTTGTATAAGTTCTCATATTATCAATCTATTATATATGTATACATTATTATCATTGCTAATCATTTATTTGACTAAACTATTATTCCATCATTTTATATGATATTCCAAATGTTCATATTTATATATTTGTGCTGTCCCAGCCAGTTCATGCCACGTGGCCACATCTGTAATCCTGATTGGCCACTAAATTGACCCTCGAGGAGTTGAGGGAGGTTTCCTCCATTCTTGCCTGCACTCATGGACTGATGACAGCTTTCTTTCTATCGCTACGTGATGGGTTAGGAAAATAACCATTTTTTTTTTTACTTTTCTGTCCTGTTTCATGCACAGAGGTGGATTTGTGGCCGTGCAGATGCAGATAAATAATTCCACAAAACATCCATAACAAAGTACATTTATTGGTACATCAGGTATCTTCATAACTCACATTTGTGACGAAGCTCTTCTATAATGACCAATCCTTTGTATATCAGCATTGCAGGTTAAAAATGGTTATTTTCCTAACCCATCACGTAGCGATAGAAAGAAAGCTGTTATCAGTCCATGAGTGCAGGCAAGAATGGAGGAAACCTCCCTCGACCCCTCGAGGGTCAATTTAGTGACCAATCAGGATTGCAGACGTAGCCACGTGACATGAACTACATTTCCCAGGATACCTTCAACTACGTTTCGCATGATGCATTCCCTTAAGGGGACAACTCACAATTCCTACGTAACTATCCAACTCCCATAGACTGGCTGGAACAGCACAGTATTCAAAATTTTAAGTTAATTTATATTATAACAATTCATTACATCATCCTAAGTCCATCCAATAGTAGTACATTTTTATATTATGTTCTGTATAATTCTATTATCATTGTATTGTAAAATTTTCTAACATATTCATTACCATATTTTTTTGTTTAACCATTGATAAAATAAATCCTATATCTTATAAAATTGTTCATCTTCTTGTTCTCTAATTTTGAATGTCAATTTACTCATTTCGGCAGATTCAATTATTTTTTAATAACTTCCTTCTGCATTGGTTTTCTCATTTTTCCAATTTTTAGCAAATACAATTCTAGCTGCTGTTAATACATTTACAATCTAATGTTTCAATTCCTTACTGTATGTTTCCAGTAAGATCCCAATAAAACTATCTCTGGTTTAAAGTCTGTATGTTTTTTTGTCATTTTTTCCAACCATGTATGGATTTTAGTCCAATATCTTTTTGCTTCTGCACATGTCTACCACATATGGTAATATGAACCCGGTATCTGATGACATTTCCAACATTTTTCAGATTTATTCTTAAACATTCTTGCTATTCTCGTCGGGGGTAAGTGCCACAGGATTCACACAATTTTAAGTACCATATATATGTAGGTGTGTGTTTGTGTCTCTATGTATGAATGTGTGTGTGTGTGTGCTTTCCCTCCTTCCTGAATGTCATTTTATTTTATTATTTTATTTTATTTTGGTCATCAAGAGCCTTTATCAAGTGCACACAAATGATGTTTGTTTATTTGTTTTACAATTAATGGAATTTATCCTTGGATTAGTATATATTTAAAGCCAGTTTATTTCGATAGGATTTATTTCAAAATATATATTCATAGGAATAATTTCATGTTGCATAATGTTACTTTGCATAATTGCAGCATGATTTTAAATAACCTAAGAAAATTAACTGCCTCGTTTAGCTACAGTCTTTAACAAATATAACCTAACTTCCACTATTGATGATATTTGTTGTATAATTAAGTTTTGATTAGCTTCCATTAAAGTATTTCAAAATCTGCCTAATTAAAAATCAGTAAATGTAAAATGCAGGTATATTCAATAAGTAGGATTATTTCTATTTGTTGAATGACTTAGCTATTCTACTACATTAAAAATTACAGTCCAGTAATAATTTTATGAAGGGCTGTGAGGATTACATCCAAGATTTGAGACAGTCATTTGAAATCCTGAAGCCTGTTTCTACATCCTTACAGTTCTGTATGCATCCCGGGAAAATGAAAAGCAAAAAAGAAATATTTTTGTTCCTTTCAAGACAGCTGCAAAGAAGGAAGAAGGCGTCTGCTTTCCTTGGTGATATGAGGTCATAAAGGGTTGCCTGCAGTAGGGAAGATACTTCTGACATCACAAAGGGGGCCTTAGCAACAATTGAAGCATAAATACAACAATAATTGCCTTGTGAGCTCAGAGTGCCTTTGGTTGGCTATGTGGGTGTGATCTCTGCTTGTCTTTTTGACACCTGAGATTTCAAGTGCCCAGAAGATTATTTCCAGCTCTCCATGAGCCCAGACTCCTGAGCTGGAATTTGAGGTTTCTGCTTTCCGAGAAGCATCTTTTTCAAGTCCTTTCATCCAAACTGGTGGAACTCCTCAAGCTAATGTTCCCTCTGGAAGTATTGCAAGTAAGTTTTTCCTTTGTTTGGGGAGACAATAACCAGCTAGTTCTCTACACGAGACATCCCCAGATGAAAAGATCCACAGCTTTGAATCGGAATTGACTTTCTCTTATAGTTATTTTTAGGGCTCCAACTGGTGGTGGTTGTGACATAGAAAATACTGTTAGTACCTATGCTGATTCACCAACTATTTCTATACAGAAATAATTTTATTTTGGTAACTTCCCAGCTGTGTTCAAGACATATTAAATATGATGTTGGCTTAAATATGACAATACTAAATAAAAATATGAGCAGCATACTTTCTGCTGTTGTACTGGTTACCAAATGGGCTCTGGGAAACATAAAAAATGGAATGGAGCCCTGATTTATGATATCTACATTTCATCTTTCTTTTAGGAATCAACTTTTGCATCTGTTCAAGTTTTATAAGCCTGCAAGACAACCTAAGCTGCACATATCATAGTTGAGTGGGGATTTGATCCAAAATGTTTCTAATTTAACTCCATCATTATCACTGTTATAATAATACAGCTCTTTCACCTGTTTTTATCTATAGGCATTGCTGATGGAGTGTTTTAATGGCTTGAATTTTAACTTTGTGCTTGCTATTTTATGCCTTATTGGAAATTGTGGAGGAAACAGTTTGGGGTAATTCTATTACATTCCTGTAAATTGTCTTGCAATCTGGATTGATGAAGACAGTATATAACTTTGCGGATACAGAGATGTTTTTTAAGAGTGGGTGGGGTGCTGTACTTTTTAAAAAAGGAATCTTTCAAGGACTACATTTTTATAGTAAGCAGGGCCAAAATTTTCTTGGGGGGGACCGTCTTGCTGTTGATTTTTTAAAAGGGGGGAAATCAACCCATTTGAGGTTTTTGAGAAATTAAAACTTGATTATGAGGAAAAATATGGAAGTAATTTTGTTGCCCCAAAATGATGTTTTGGAAGGTTTAATGACATCACTTGAAATTACAGGCGCATGGCTGGGATATCCTGGGGAAAGCAGGTGGATTTTTTAAAATACATCTAGATTTTGTTTTTAGGATTAATCAGGGAAAAAATATCCCACATCCTGAGACCCAAAAGAGAAGTGCTTGTTAAAGAAGCCACAAGAGCTGAAGCAGCATGGGAGACTGGAAAGCTTACATCAACACAGTCCTGAAAGACAAGAATATTGAAGATGTAGCAATTGTTGGACATTCTGACAATAAGTCTGTATGGGCATCTAAACCAGGAGGTCTGTTGGCAGCCATTTCTCCTCAGGAAGTTGGGCTGATCACTGGGCAGGATAGAAAATCTTTCCTACAAACTGGGATCACCATTGCTGGAAAAAAGTGCAGTGTAATCCGTGACAACTTGCTAGTAGAGAAAGATGCTGTCATGGACACCAGAACCAAAGGTGGTGACAGTAGGTCCATCTGCATTGGGAAATCTTCCAAAGCTCTTATCTTTCTCATGGGCAAAAAGGGGGTCCATGGAGGAGCCCTGAATAAGAAGGTGCATGATATGATAGCGAGCATGAAGGCAAAAGGCAGCTAGATATAGGGATTTGCCTGAATCACTTTTCTCCTGAAAGGAGGACATGGGGAAAGTATTGGTCCTTGAAATAAAAGCATTTGATGAACACCTTGCCTATTTCTTTGAACTATGAATTGGGATAGGAATTGTTCTGGATCACCTATTCCAATTTGAAGGGGGGGGGGGGGGGGTAGGCAAAGAGATGATACAGGTGGGAGGAGTGATTCCCAAATATAAAATACATGAACTGCTAAGCAGGACACTAATTGGCACAATGTTTAAAAAACACTTTGGCCTGAACAAGTCCTCACTGGAATGAATACAACCAGCATATCTTAAGAGTGACACCAAGTAAACACCAAGGAATCTGGAATTTGTCTTGAAGAGTCAAAAGAGCCAGATTCAGACTTGGATTCAAGATTAGTTTGAGCTTACATGGTATTTGGCCACAATTTTTTAATTAGAATCATTCCAGCCTCATTCAAAGGTCTGAGATAGGCCCACAACCAGGAACCAGGAACAAGTGACTTAAGAAACTTGATTGAAAAACTTATGATGGTTGACTCCCCCAGTGGTTCATTTTATGTATGATACTATAACCCAACTATTGAATCATATCACTATTCGGCATTTGTTTCATTTTGCTTTTTGAAGAAAAAGAAAAAAGTACATGAAACATTTTGTTAACTTCTGCTTAAGCTCAAACATGCTAATTTAATATTCTTTAAGAATATTCAAGCGTATTATTCCAAACCCTGAAATTCACTTTCTTCAATTCCTTTTTTAAAAAAGTAACTGGTTTAGCAGCTGGCATTGATTCCTCCAAATTATCAATCCATCATGGAAGTTCAGAAAGTGATTATACTTTTGCTATAGAAATTCCAATATGGAATATCCAGTGAAATTTAGTTGTCTTGCCTTTCCTTTGCCTTACTGCAAAGTTTAAAGGGATTCTTGCATTTGTGCTTGATGCAAATCTATGCAAGAAGTTTATTATAATAAAAATGTAATTATAACAAACTGCAGATTACAAATTGGAAACCTCCAAACCCATTTTGGCAGATGCTTTTGGTCTTTCAATTTGATCATTAACAAGAGGGTTGTCCCAAAGGTGTTTTTCTAGAAGGCAACTGGACTTTCTTGGAGGTTTTTTCCTGAAACCTTTTGCTTCTTAGAACTATTTCCTAGCAATTATACTTTCCCTTCCCTTCTAAGGAGTAGTATAATTTTTTAAAAGGTTTGCTATGTTTTTCAAGGAATTTGGGCAGAAGGGATTCTTGTGCAATTAAATTAAAGAAAATGACAACAAAAATTTATTCCCCACCCCCCTATAAACAAGCAGTGGGACAGGACAATAGAAATCTTATTTTATGGAAATAAATGACAAAAAAATATCTGTACTACCATTTATCATCTCCAGGGGAAAAGCTCAGTGAGTCATACACTTTAGCTGAACTCAGTGCAATTCTGCAAGTAATTGGCCAATCATAGAATTAAAAATAGAACCATTAATAATAAATACTTGGAGAAGAAAACAGTTCTGCAAAGATAATTGGTTTCACTTGCAGTTCTTGGGAAATCATTTTAGCAAGTATGACCCATTCTCAGCATAATCGGTTGTACAAAATTACAGAGGGAATGGTGTGCAACTAGAGGTGGCCTTCACTGGCTGTGCCTGAACCATGTATTATCCTAATTTTGTTATGCTCTACGTAGCCTTTCCTATCAGGTGGACTCAGCATGGCATGGCTGGCAAAGCTCTTGGAGTATGGGGCTTGGAAAATTAATTTAGTTAGGGCATGAGCAGGAGGCTGTGGAATCCAGATACTCCAACTGACAAACACAGTTCTCACCACAAAGGAAGGAGAAGGGTCGGACGTCTGAAATGGCAGGAGAATGGCTATGAAGGGACTGGTAGGTAGAGGAAGACTTGACAGTGGTCCTAAGCTCTAATCCAGCATGGGGACTATGCCATTTTACCAATTTGGTAAATGAGGATGGGAAAACAATTCTGGAGGTATAGTTTCAATTAAACAATAACAACAACCTTATCACAACAGCACTCTCTGTGCCAGACAAACATTTCTGCTTTTAATTGTTTTTGTAGAAACCCAGAGGGTTTTGATGAGTTAACTTATGTTTCCCTTATCTTTTAGATAATAAAAGGGGCAGTAGCAAGGATATCAACAATCCTGTTTTCTCCCCATGGTAGGAGCTCTATTTTTGGAAATATTGCTTGACTACCATAAAAGCAAGCCTCTTCAACAAGAAGCTTAAAATAGAATTTTTCAAACTGTTTTTAAAATGTATATTTTAATTGATTTTGTTTGGGGTGTATTTTTTGTAAACTCTGCATAGCCAAAGGAATTAGAAAGTACAGACATTTATTGATGTAACAACTTAAATCTATGTACTATTTTGTAAAAAGTTTTTCTCATTCGCAATAGAATTTGAATTTTTCACAGTAGAGGGTGCTGAAGAGCAGGGTAGAAATTTGAGTTATCATAATAGAAATAGCTGCATCTCATGCACGTTCCATTTAAGTTTAACTTAAGATTTCACATTGATTTCTACTTTGAAAAAAAAAAGTATCTTTAATATGTCTTACTTCCCAGATATATAACCTGTAACATTTATAAAGCAAACAAAGGCATCCATAAGGGGGAATGGGCCAAATAACAAATTAATGCCTTGCGATACAAACTATGTAGCTCAGAACTATGCTCCATCCATCTGATGAATGAACAACATCTATAAAGCTGCTGTGAGAAACTAAACATTACAGCCATAGAAGACTGATGGTTTTGCCGTACAAGATTAATGTCATCAGTCTGCTAAAACAGTTACCCAGGCATGGATTCCTCTTGTTCAGTCTTTCAATTAAAATCTGCTTTTTCCAGCCAGGTTAATGCTTTCAAAACCTGAATGACTTTAATGATATCTGTTCAAAGATACCCTTCATCAATCCTTGGAACTCTAAAATATAACCTAATCTCCTTTTCATTCAACATTAATTCCTTCTAAATCTATCCACACACAGTTCTCCATATCCTTTATCTGTTACCTCCTATCACTTCTGCCTTTGGTTGGGTCATCCGGCTCTCAGCCTTCTTATCCTTTCTAGGCTAATCCCACTACCTGCCCCCCAAGTGAGACTCCGATTCCCCCACTTTCTATTTCTATCTTTTTGGGATATTTCCAAGTCAAGCCCATCTCCTCCTTTCCTCACCCATCAGGAAATGGAGAACACCTCTTGAGATATGTGGATTTCATGGCTGTAAATGAACAGACTATCCCTAGATAATTATTTGATTATCCATGCAACATTTGGAATGAATCTGTATATTCCATTGCAATGGATCATTCTAAGAAACAGAATGTTATTGATAATGGCAGAAGTGTACTTGTTCTTGTCCTTTCTTTTGGGTGGGACTCTTGAGATTGTAAGCTTGAGGAAGGGAGACTGCCTCATTTCTTATGGATCTTATATCAATAATTGTGGGAATCTTTTTGAATAAAGACGAGGAAGAGGGAAGGAAAGTAGACTAACATCATTCAACACAGCCATGTATTCAAATTAATTGGTTAAATGTATTTAATTTTTCTTTGTAAATAATTTTGTTAATATATGTTTATTAACAACCTAAAACACAATACAGCCTTAAAACAGTTATACAAAATAAAATCTGAAACATATACTGAAAGCAGAGGCAAGCAAAAAAAAAAGAAGAAGAAGCATGGAAATGAATGTTATTTAAGCCAAAGCAGATCATTTGGGAATAGAAAGACTGGAACCTTTCCACTACACAGATGAGAAAACTATTCCATCCAGGCTGTTAGCCCAGATTCATACTTTTCCAGTGAGATGTATATCTGATTACTTATTATTGGTTTCTGGACCATCTCAGAAAGATAGATTTTATGAAATAGTGTAATAAAAATATCTGTCCTACATAGGCAGGCAACATAAAATCCTACACAGGACATTTGGGCTGCTGCTGCAACAACTCCAGAACTTGAACAACGAAGCAGAGCTATCCATGGCATGCATATACATTTGACATTTCCTTGGAAATTTGGGGTGAATTGAAGTCTCTGTAGAGAGAAGCTTTCTCCCCCTTTGCTTAGAAACTATGCCTTAGATCTTCTGTAAGTAGATTTCCAAACAGCGTAATTACTTTGGACTGGTGATTCAGTGTTGGCCTGTTGAGTCTCTTGTATCACTAGAAGGTCTAGAGAAATGCAATCTATTCCAATAGCTTAGGGTCTCTCAACTTTAGCAACTTTAAGATGAGGGGACTTCAACTCCCAGAATTCTCAAGTGGAGCATCTTACAGACATACAAATGAGAAAGAATAAAGGCATGAGTCGCCTAGAAGGGTAAGCATACCTTTCACCACTACATTAAAGCAATAAGAATATAAGCTGCTTTAGAAAAACAAATGCCCGTCTATGTCCCCTATAAAAAAGTAGTTTGCCCAGAATCTCTGCTGAATGGTGAAAACCGAACCTACAGTCTACAGTATCTCTTCTCAATTCATGTGGACTTTGAAACTGCTAGAGTTGAGGGGACTATAGACCAGACACACACTGAAGGACTCCACATTCTGATCTTTCAGTACCATTCTCCTGATTTGCTCCGTCTCTGCTACACAATCTTTCCTCAGTCTTCCTCCTCACTACCCTACTTGATTTTTTAAAAAAATACATTGGTGACAGACAGTTTATTCCAGACAGTGAAACTGCAAATTTCTGTACTTCATAAGGAGAGTTTAAGCCTATATTGGGTACTATATGAAAGATTCACGAACCATATCTGTCTTAATATTTTTGGGGGGAGCAATTAGTTTCTCTTTTGGAGTCCACATTCTTCTTCAACTCTTCTCAGTTGGTCTGCTTCTCACAATACTCCTCTGGCTAAACATACAGATGCTATGCTATTATAATCTTTCCTAGCATGACATTTTGGAGAAGCTTGTAGTGCTTGTATGTCAGATCATCGGCCAGCATTTTGATGGCAATGTGGTCTTGTCAAAAAAGCAATTACTTCTCTTCTCTTTCCTTAACTTCTCTCCTTTTGCCTTCTCTCTCTCCTATCATCCTTTATCTTTTCCTTTTTTCATTATTTTTTGAATGGACTGAATCCCAAGGGGGTTTATATATGTTTAAATCTGACCCAGTTAATTAGTTTTATACCTTTGGCATTACTTATTCGTTTTAATTGATTGGTATTAAAGCACTTAGAGAATCATAAAAACAGCTAAATGTTTTTTTTACAAAAAATGCAAAACTGGATCCATTTTCCTCCTTCTTGCTTTGGGGGCATTTACAGAAGATGAAGCATATATAAGCAAAGAAGAAATTGCTGTCCTCCTCAGTTGCGTTGTTGTCATTGTTGTCTTCGTCATCCTTGTCCTCCTCAAAAAGTAGTCAGATCTATCGCACTGATGTACTCATCGAAACAGCCAAGCCAAATGGTGAAGTGTAGGCTCTGGCCAAACCCTGCAGGCCAAGGATCAGATAGCTGCATCCTTTCTGCAACACTTTGCCCACATTCTGAAAGTAGTGAAAGAACATTATTAGCATGAGGAAACAATTCCCCCCAAAATACTACAGTTTAACAAATATTATTACAGCACAAAAGATGCCAGTTCAGCTCAGACGGCACAATTCTCTCAGATTCCTAAAATTTCCACTGGTTGGGGAGAATATGGTTGGATCGACACTTAGCCAAGAAGTTAATTGTGTCAACTTGATTCAATCATTGTCTTTAGGCCAACGTATTTAACATCAGGATAAAATCAGGGTTATAGCTTGAACTGCTTTCATGTTGGCTTGGTCCAAATGTGACTTTAAATGCCTGAGCCATTGTTCATCATTCTCATGAAGTGCCGTTGTTATGTGTTTCATTTCTTTAAAAATCTTAAAGATTTTTCTTTCTTTTTCTTCCATGCCTTCTTTTCAACTCAAATGGTTTCAGAGCAAATTACCAATAATGTAACCCAAGCAGTAAATCAACAAAACCATAAAAAAAGGATAAAGAAAGACAGATTAAAAAAAAAACCATAGAGGAATAAATGCCAATTTCCATCTGATCTTTTCCCCAGAAAATTTCAGTACAAAAAAAAATAGGCACGATGCTCTAGGGCTAAATCTCATAAGTGAATATTGTGGTGGTTTACATTTTGAAGCAGTTTTGAAAGGCTATGCAGCCACAGGATCCTGGTGCTTTTGCCAGAATGATGAAATAGTCTTACATTGCAAGCTCTAGTTGTGCATGCAATATTGTGACACGTGGAAAAGTGGTGAGGCTTGCTGTGATGCTTTCATTAGTCTGATCCTCTTCTTTTGCCTCCCCTAACCCTATTGATCCAAACAATAGCTGGAAGGGGGGAAAGCAACAATACAAAGTTATTTTAATATACACATCCAGATGCCACGCACACACACACGCAAAGCATTGATTCCCCATTCCAAAATATCACACTGCTATATTAATAAAGCTGGAGGGAGGTAGGGTGAGGATTTCTTCTCCCCATTCCAGTCAAGGTGATCGGTACCAATTTACAGGCTGGTGAGATTAAAACCTGAACAGAGCAAAATGATCTTTCCCTTTCCTTCTGAATCTTAAAAAAAGAAAGAATTGCTAAATATTCTGTCACTCATCTACTTTTAATCTATGCAAATATTAACGTGTTGTTTTATTGTGCATTTAATGGAACAATTTCCTTAAAAGAGAGAGGTAAATAGAAGAACCAAAGCTGGCACAAGGGACAAAGTTAATCACCAGCCAAGGAAGGAACCCCCTGTTTTTCATCCTGACACTTAGTATTGCTGCTGTTGGACTGTGATGGCTGGGAAGGAGCCATGGCAAGTTCCAAGAAAGGAAAATCCACAACCTCTGCCTCCCTTGTTTCTGCTCTCTGAGTAAAGGAGTGGATAAGGCTCAGGAACAAAGGGCAAGCATTGGTGATAGAATAACATGGAGTTAATGTTAGGATACAACCTCTTCTGAATGGTAAATGGCTTTGCAAAAGCATATTTATCATGATTAACTTGGTTGACACAATTTTCTGAGCTTTGCCAGAACACTGAACTATAAATCAATCAATAACAACAGGCTGGCTTTTCCTGTAACATCAGGCTACATAAAAATTGGTTGCTCAATTTGTGGTGTGAATACTGCCATAGTGAGATTCTTCTTTAGGAAGGAAGTGTTAAGAAAATCAGCTGTACACACCAACGGAGCAAAAGGTGCTGGCCCTTACTATTTTTTTAATTTCTGCAATTGGGAGATTAATAAAACGAAAATGTCTGTTTTGCCTTGTTATAGTGCTAGTCCTTTTACAGCAATTTGATAGAAACTTTCTATATTTTTCTTGTACACAGACAAGCCTTAAGGTCAGCAGGATAAAACAAAAGAGAGGGCATCGTAAAACAATAGTACAGGAAATGTCCTGATAGGCTTCAGTGGTCAGGAAATTGAGATATTGGCAACAATCAAGGACAGTGCTAGACATCACCTGTACTCACGGCATTTAACAATCCTTGCAATGCTTAAATAGCAAAGATTCAACGAAAGCATGTTTACTGTTACGTAAAGGTGTGTCTGACTTTTTATCTTACACTGTTAGAAGTAGTGGAAGGACCCAGGAATGATAAGAATGTATGAGAAAAACAATAGAAAAGCTGGGAGGGAAATTTAAGGGTAAAGGAACAAGAAGAAAGAAAAATATTGAGGTAGGTTTATCCTTTTTAAAAAATGTAAGACAGCCATGGGTCAACATAACAATATCAGTACTGCAGCAATGATAGAAAAAAGGGGGAAAGAAGATGGTTTTCTTTTTAACACTATAATAACACAATAGGTAGCGAGATGACAGAATATATATCATATAAAAGGTGTGATATATAAGATGTAAAAGTATACAATTTCCACAACACAAAACTTATTTAGACAAAACTGCCATTATTACTTTAAAAAAATAACCTTGACATGTAGATTTCGATTCCTATCAGCTAAGCCAACAGCAAGGGATTATGGGAGCTATAATTCAGAAGGCCCAAAAGATAATGTCTGGATCTTTCTTTTAAAGTAAGATTGATGTGAAAATACATAAGACCTGAAACATTCACAAAACATCTCACTTCCTCCAGTATAATCATCTAATCATACATCAGATGGTTCCAGTTGATGGTGCAAATAACACAATGGAGAAATCCAGGAGATACTTGAAATGGAATCCAAGCCATTGCCTTTAGCCTAAAAGGTACAAGATCAAACAGCCTGGTGGTCAGGTTCAAAAAAAGCAGCCACAAGTAATTGCAAGATCATCATGAACCATCTCCTTTACTGTGACTTAGTTATTAGCTTATGGACTGTTCTCTGTTACAAGAATGTATACAGGAAATTGAGGCACTTGATTACAGGTAATATAAATAGTTTCGGTGAATGAATTTTCTGAATAGGATCCAGTTATAGAACAAACCTAGAATTAAGAATGAATGTTCTGACAGAGAGAACAATTAACCAATGGAATGGGTTGCCTTCAAAAGTTGTGGGTACTCAATCACTGCAGGTTTTTAAGAAGAGATTGGATAGCCATTTGTCCAGAATGGTACAGGATCTCCAGCTTGTGTAGGGGGTTGCTTGCCTCTCTTTTTCTAGAGTAGGGATAGAAAGCTATTCTATCCAATACTCCCATTATTGTTCAAATTGAGCTAGTTAATGTAGTTCAGCAATACCTTGAATATTTTGCAATACCCAGAGATTATTGAAAATCTCCTGGTTAAGTGCCAATTGTAGGTCCTAACAGAAACAACACAACTTCATTCTGATATTGCTGTGATTAATAAAGCTAGGAGTATGAACTAGATATTCAAGAGAAAGGATAGGGGGATAACATTATATTCTGATACATAGCATAAAACCCTGTACTGAGAATGAATTATAAACTAAATATATTTCTTTCTCTAGATTCTGATTGGTGGGTCTACAATACTAAGTACAGCTTATATTCAAAAATTTGCCTGCCTTTGGATTAGAGTACTGTATGCAAATATCTCCATACCTCTTTAAAATAGGAGTCCCATTTGCACATCATGGGTGTCAGGGGAATCTAAACATGCTGTGCAGAACTCTAAACAGTACAAATAACTTGTTTAATTAATCCAAGGGGAGTTAAAATTTAATCATACACAATCTTTTCAGGGCTAACTAACTCCATCTCCAGATTAATTAATCTTCTTGTATTGTGTGAACTACTTCATGACCGTTAACATTCCTCCATCCTAACACAATATCCTAGTGTTTCTTATATTTTTTTTCCTCAGGATTCTTTTCCACTTTTAAAAATGATGGTGGACCAAAAGAGTTTTTGTTTGTATGGGTTTTATTTATCGTTATTCACTGTACCTAAAATAATGCATTCACTGCGGCTACTTCTTCTAATGATTGTTCGATGGGATTTTATTATATTATTCTTCAACATAAGCTGGCAAATAATTTTGATTTGGCAGACTCCTAATAGGAACTTGGAGAACCCCCAGGGGTCTCAGGATCATATTTTAAGGAATTTCTAGAAACCCTTCTGCCTTGACAGTTTTCAACCCACACAACAGATAAAAGGGGGAAGCAGTGGTTGAGGGTATTTGCCCTCTCCAAATAGAAAGATTAAAAGAGCAGGAACTTGGGTAGCAAATATGTCAGCTGTCCAATATCCTATCAATAGCTTGGAGAATTTAAAATAATGGTTGTGATATGGCAGATCAAGCTGTCTATGATCCTTGCTATTGGTAAACAAAGGTGAATCTGTTGAATTGAGAAGATGAGTGGGTTTTCTCCATTGTACAAACTCAACTATGATAAACTGACTTTCAAGGAATACTAAAATATAGGCAGAGATATCCTCCAAATGGTTCAACTTGTCATTATCTTTTCTTCTGTTCAAAATAGAGGAATCTTAAGACTTCATTGATCGATATAAAAGCTGATCACATGTAAGTCACAATTGCCACTTTCTTCAATCTAGCAGCTCAAGTAAGTGACTGAAGCTTCAGAAGCAATTGTGTGCCACAGGAAATACTTGATCACAGCCCAAACAATGAAGCCCTGATCTCAGCAAGGAGCAAAGTAGTGTTCTAAGAAATGGCATGCCTTTCTTTTGTGGTTACTTCCATACAGAGTACAGCAAAAGTTTTGAAGCAGGACACGAATATTTTATCAAGAGCATGAGCATACAAAACCACAGAACTCAAATATTTTTTCTTTTGGTGGTTACAATTGCTAAATCAGATGATCTGCATACAACAAGCCTATTATCTCCACTATGTGAGTCAAAATATTGAATTTAACTGATCACTACAACAAAGTGGGCAATCCCAGGTTGCATGAATCCCCGGGTTGCATGAATCCCCGGGTTGCATGAATCCCCAGTCCCATTTATTTTGCAGCCCTCGGGGTTTCTGAAATCACAAGCTCTGGCATGATTTTCAAGTAGAAAATGAACATTCCAAGTAATGCATCCATAGGAAGCAGAAGTCTGAAGCAGACAAAT